AGATAGATAGATAGATAGATAGATAGATAGATAGATAGATAGATAGAGATGAAGGGTGGGGCAATTGCCAATTTTTCTGCTATTGAATCCTTATTAGAGCATGCCTGCCAACTAATGGGCAATCTTCACAGAGTATGGCAAAATTTTCTGGACTGTAGACATCAAAAACCACCCACAGCCATTAACAAGATGGTGTAAACAAATCCAGCTGTTTTAAAAAATACAAGAGGAAATACTTTATTAAACCATGCTAAGGAACACAGCAAATGATGGAAGCAAAACATTTTATGATTGAGAACTACAATGATCAATAAAAGATTAGAACAAGTGTTGTAAGGTAGAACTAATGTCTTGATACATGAGAACTAATCTTTGTATTAAGAAGGCAAATCACACAATTCTCCAATAAGTCTCGTTTGTAATGCTGGTCTCATAATGAAATACTAAATAATGTCTCTTTATTTTGTGTTTCACCAGCAAAAATAACCCTTTCTAGTTCAAAGGACATTGTTTCTGAGGGAGATGCTTTCTTTTTAACATGCCAGAGTGATGTCAGCAATTATGACACGGTCATTTGGAAAATTCAGAATGGCAGGAGTATTAAGCAAATAGATAGTAGGTGGTACACCACCACGAAGACCTTCACAGGTGCCACGTCTGTGCTGAGTGTACCTAGAGCAAACCAGGACTGGACTGGTGAGTCAAGGCATGAATAATTTCACTCAGCCATCCCATTCATGAGAAAAATAATTTTATCAATGAAATAACGTGTTCACTAAAGTGGCTTTTCAATGTTTCTACTTTTTTATTTATTTATTTATTTATTTTTGTCAATTGCTTACAAGATAATAGGTATAAGTAAAAACATAGTTATGAATACATGGATACATATAAGAAAAATAAAAGAAACAATAGGACTGGGACGGTAGGCACGTTGGTGCACTTATGCATATCCCCTACAGACTTCTTAGGAAAGGGGTGAGGTCAATAGTAGACAGTCTAAGGTTAAAGTTTTTGGGGTTTGGGGAAGAAACCACAGAGTCAGGTAGAGTATTCCAAACATTGACCCCTCTGTTGCTGAAGTCGTATTTCCTGCAATCCAGTTTGGTGTGGTTAACCTTGAGTTTGTATCTATTGTGTGCTCTTGTATTGTTATGACTGAAGCTGAAGTATTCATTGATAGGTAGGACATTGCAATGTATGATTTTATATACTATACTTAGATTGGACCGAAGGCAGTATAGTGCTAGGTTTTCTAGGTGTAGAGTTTCAAGTCCGGTGGCATAAGGTATTCTGCAAGGAGTAGAGGAGCGGAAAACTCTTCTTGTGAAATATTTCTGGACTTTCTCAATTGTGTTAATATCAGATACATGATATGGGTTCCAGACTGATGAGCTGTATTCAAGTATAGGTCTTGCAAATGTTTTGTATGCTCTAGTTAGTAGTGTGATATTACCAGAGAAGAAGCTATGTAGGATTAGATTAACAAGTCTTAATGCCTTTTTGGCTATGTAGTTACAGTGGGCTCTAGCACTTAGATCATTAGAGATGAGTACTCCAAGGTCCTTGACAGAGTTTGGATCCTCAACAAGGTCTTGACTATTTTATTTTCTTTCCAATAGGTAAGAGAGAGCATTTATTTCTTGAGATTTGAAGTTGCCATTTGATTGACCATTCTGATACATAGTCAAGGTCTTTTTGAAGGGTAGTAGTATTGTCTATGGTGTTGAATAGCTTTACATCATCAGCAAAGAGAACACAGTTGCTCTTAATATGATCACTGAGGTTATTTATGTAGAGTATGAAAAGAGTTGGTCCTAGAACACTGCCTTGGGGGACACCACTGTTGACAGGTACAGAATTTGATAGGACGCTCCCAATTTTGACCATTTGTTGCCTGTTTGACAGGAATGCTTCTATCCAGTTATGCAGGTGTCCAGAGGTACCATAAGATTTTAGTTTTAGTAGTAGTTTGTCGTGTACCACTGAATCAAAGGCATTACAGAAGTCTATGTAGATTGCGTCTATTGCTTTGCCCTGATCGAGTTGTGTAGTCCATATGTTTTTGCAGTGTAAGAGTTGCAGTTTGCAGGATAGTTTTTTTCTGAAACCAAATTGTTTATTGGAGAGTAGGTTGTTTGTGGAGGATAATGGATTGGTTAATAATTGATTTCATGACTTTATGGGTGACGCAACATAAGGAGATTGGTCTGTAATTTTCAGCAAGGCTGAAGAGGAAGATGGGGATGACCATGGTTTTTTTATTTTAGAGGATTTTAATAGTAGTTGTTGCTGCTTTAAACCTGTCTGTTGTTAATTTCTTTAGAATTGCATTTGTTAAACCTGTTGTTTTATTTTTCTAGGCATCTATACATGCAACTTTTCCCAAAGTTTTTTGAGCAGCTTTGGAAATATAACAATTAAAGTTATTCCTTTGCTCCGGCCTCAAGAGATCATAAGAGATCCCATAGAGACTGTCATTTCTTGTCCATCAACAAGAATTCTAGAATGCTGTACACGACGGATGGAAAATTACATTGTTTATTTGTTTTCTCATGATCACAATATGCCTTTACGCATTAGGGCAGGTAAGTAATCATAGGCTGGATGGAAGAAGAGCTGTTGATGAAAAGCTAGATATCCATTTCTCTTGAAACCTTAATGGGGTTTGGCAAGGTCAAATGCAACCATGAAAATCACAGTTTGCTTCTATATCAGTGTTTCTCAACCTCTGCAGATTTCAGATGTGCAAATCTCAATTCATGCTGGCTGAGAAATTCTGGGAGTTGATGTCCACACATCTTAAAGGGTGAGAAACACTGTACCAGAGCTTTGTAGCAGGGGTTGAATAATCTGAGATTCAGCACCAGTTCCCTTAGTGATCCCCACATTCTTAATTCCCTAATGTTGATTAGTATTGAAGGAATAACCTGTATCAGGTGTCTATGTGAAGGGCTCCTAGGTACTCTCTGAGCTTGGTTGTTTTCTTGCAGATGTTTCATTATCCAAACTAAGTAACATCATCTGTGCTAGTAATCATTCCCATTCCTTACTCGCACCGATGATGTTACCTACTTGGATAATGAAATGTCTGCAAGAAAACAACCAAGCTCAGAGAGCACCAAGGACCCCTCATTTCAACCCAGCTACAAATATTCTCCATTATCAGGAGTCTAAGTTGTAGAAGACAACTGGATAAAAACAGGGTCTAAGCTCTCAGGGTCTCAACTGAAGCTGTCAAGCTATTTACAAACAGTTAAAAAGTTGTTTTCTCAGAGATTTAACACAAAATGTTTTTACCTAACTAGATATGAATACATCTATTTTAATAAACCTGACTAGGATCTAGGTTAAGAATAGGAGCCTAGCTTCTTATTCTGGAGGTTAAAACCTTAACCCCACATTAAATAATTTGTTCCTTTACAGAAAGAAGGGAAAGAAATAATCTCAATTGCTACTATTCCATACAAAGTTTCACAGACATACACTGCAGTTCCAAAGAATATGATCTCCAGGTATATTGTATGTTTATGAATCAGATCAATCATAATGTGACAAGTCCAGCTATGGTCCTACATTTTGTACCAGGTAAGAGAGAATGCCATTGCATAAATCAGTCACTAAATGCATGCAAGTCAATCTTATTATCTCTAGTATGAACAAGTTTGCTTGAAAAATAACTGGAGAACAATAACAGATAATTTGTTCATGCTGGGTCTTTTACATTTTGCATTTTTCTCTGAAGATTGATTTTCACATTATAGAAAAATGGGAGAGAAATTTTTTCTGTTCCAAAAATATCTTGTTCTGCACTTCCTCACTGGAAAACAGGAAGTTTAATATGAAGACATACTTACTTCCCTTTTCCTTCCAAATTTGAAGCCCTACATAATTGTGTCCTTAGAAAAGCCTTTAACATCTAAAAGTTTCCATCTGATAAGCACAAATTTCATTAAAATAATGAAGTCATATACTGCAGACTAGGGAACCTGGCAAATATTCATGAGTCCTAAGATAAGACAAAGTGTTATTGTGTGTGTGTGTGTGTGGGATTCTCCGTGATCAACTCTTCACACACTTTAATTGGAATAGATTACAGGATTTTTCAGTTAAAAACAATTTCTTTGTAATGTAGTAAGAAGCAGATGTTTTGTTCATATGTGCAATGGAAGATTTCTTATTCCTGACAAACTGTACCTAGCTTTATAAATATGTAAGTAGACATCTGACTCAGAAAGCAAGATGTAACTTTTAAAAATCTTTTTTTTCCCACAGCAAAAAATGTGGTGTGCAATTCCTCAGACATTGGTGTGGGAGCAAATGAAGCGCAGATCATAAAACCTTGCTTAAATTTCCATGGGACAAGTAACTCTGTGAGAGGAAACATCACTTATAGATGTGATCGTACAAAATGGACTGTTCATAGAAACAACTGCCTGGCTGGTCCCATCAATAACCTTTTGGATTCTGCTGAGGTAATCGTGCTCCAGTCTCCACAGTGAGCCCAGGCCAAGTAGGGGATTTGAGGTCTATTGAAACAAAATGCTCTGAGAATTGAGGTCAATGGATGAGGCCTGAGTGACCTTCCCTTTAGTTCTTCAACCTGGTTGTTAGAACCAAGTGTTTTCTGCCTCATAGGGAGGACTGATTATCTCTTTTACTGATGTTGTCTAGGAAGTGCGAAGTCCCAGTAGCTTTGATTAATGGTCAAGAACATAGATTCATTTTTCCATCTCATTCCACAGTCTTCGAACAGCTGGACAGCACAAGTGGTCCTTGGTTTCTGAATGAGACTGACATTGCCATCACTAACAACATGGCCATAAAGTGTCACATCGCATATGCTGCAACATTTTATATGTTTCTTTGTTCAACAATGTTGTAACTTCGAATGACCACTAAATGAAAGGTCGTAATTCAAGGACTACCTATACTTCAGCAAACTACACAGCAAACTACCTGTGTGTGTGTGTGTGTGTGTGTGTGTGTGTGTGTGTGTGGATATAGATATAACTACCTATTTCATTAATTTGACTTTAAAATATACACACACACACACATAAGCATACATATACATGCATACATATAAATCAGTAATATATTTACATATATTTGCATATGTCAAGAAATATCACCACTCTCTGGAAGGATATGTAAGAATTCTGTCCTAGATTAGACTATTGTCCAGGTCAGGTTGACAGTCTGGTTCATCAGGTGAGCTCAGCTTTTTCCTTCTGACTCTCTGTAGAATCATTAAAGTTAAAAAGCAGAGTTCCATTATCACACTCTCTCTAGAGGTTAATTAACATGTCATTTTTATTTATTTACATAACTTATATAGCTGCCTATCTTATTAAATGATTCTAGATGTCTCAAAACAAGAAAATAAATATTAAAAACAAAAGCACCCTTCTCTGCAGATGACAGACCAAACCAACCCCCCGGGTTAACCCTCATCCTAACTCAATGATAGAGGAAGGCTAAAAGGATAGGGATCCCTCAGATTGTAGCCACTAACCTTTTAGGATTGGGGTGACCATTGAGAAGGCATGCCGTATCAGATACAACATTTAAGGACTTGAAGCATGCCCTTCCTACCTAATGTAATATGATAGATATATACCTTCAGGATGAGGTACTCCCACAAATAATCTGGCCCTATGTCATGTAAGGCTTTAAAGATGATAACCAGCACTTTGAATTGCACCCGGAAGCAACTGAGAGTCAGTGAAGCTCACACAGCACTGGTGAATTCAGGTGATCTATCAGGCATCCAAAACTATGTGCTGCTACATTCTGGATCTGTTGCAAGTTCTGGATAGTCCTCAAGGGCAATCCCGTGTAGAATGCATTGCAATAAACAAATGGGAGAAGACTAAGGCAGAAATGACCATGAGCAAAACCTCCCAGTCCAGGAATGGGTGAAATTGGTAGGCAATATGAATTTGTTTAAGGGTTTCCCTGGCCCCAACTGCCACCTGCTCTTCTAGCAGAAGCCACAAGACTAGGAAGGCCCCAAAATTGCATATCAGATTCGGGGGGCGTATTACTCCATCCAGAGTCAGAGATACCAATTGTCCTGACTTTAAGGGGCCCAAACTATGTGACCATTCCATCTTTCTGGGATTGAGTTGCAGCCAGTTTCTCTCTTCTCCTCTCAGATTTTTACACAGGCATTGAGCCAGCATCTGAACAGTATTGTCAGGGGGTGGGTGGGGGACGGACCTAATTATTGAGCATAGCTGCACTTAATAACAGTTGAACAGACAGCATACCACAAAAAGTCTCACTTTAGGATTCAGAGGTTTATTAGAATTTAAAGCATAGCAAACACCAAAGACTTACATTAATCATATTGCAATGAAGGTCAATCAGACAAGCAGTCAAATGGGTCAGCTTGAAGCTGATTGGCAGCTTCCTATTTTTCATCTTTGTCTTTTATATCTTAAAACCACAAACCATGTGAGTTTTGGGATCTATCCCTGATGTCATCAAAACCGAGTCAGTTTCTCCTTAATCATGCAATGTTGTTTTACTGCTAACCTCAATCTTATACTGTTGCTCTTTTGCCAACTACAATCTTGCAATGTTATCAGTTGCCTAGTTCCCTATTCCCTAGAACCTCAGTTCCTCATATTCAGTAGAACAGGAACCAAAGGTGCGGGTAAAGAGGAACGATACCTTAAGACATACTTTACAAAGGAAATCACATATTAAGACATGATTCTAAGTGTGCAGATTATTATTCAAGTTTAGTTTTCTTGTAAGTACTCAAGGTTAAATATTCTGTCTTTCTACCCACACTTGTTTTACAAAATGGTCTTTTCATGTTAGCCTATGCTCATGTTGATAAACTAGCAACCCGTGAGACTCCTTAGTCAGGCTCCATAGAAATACCTCAGATTCCATAAACTCTGACCAAAAAGCACCCCCAGGCCCATGACCTCCCATCAGAGACCCATTTTCCTTTTTCAGTATCTTTTGCCTGGCATCAGCACACTGATGATACCAAATTCCAAACTGCCAGATGACCTTTCCTGATGGCTTCATATAGATAAATAGGAGGGGAGAGAAACCCAAGACCTGAGTCACCTCACATAGCAGGAATCTGGGACTGGATCTCTCCTTCACCACCAATACTGTCTGGTACCAGCCACATGGAAAAGGGTACCATTGCCAAGCAGTGCCTCTTACTCCTAATCCCCAGAGCCAGTTAAACAAGATTCTATGTGTTCCGGACTAGCAGGCTCGAAAGCCTGCAACTCTGATTGGCCTGCGAATAGCAGATCATGATTGGTAGCCACAGACTGATCCGATTGGCTAGTAAACGGGCTGCCGCGATTGGCCCAGCCAAGAGCGGCAAACTCAAATCGCCTTCTTTGGCTGCCTAGCCACAGCCAGCCCTATATAAGGGGCTGCTGCGGCTGGGATAGCTTTGCTCAGATCTGAAGTCACTAATAAAGAGCTTTAGTTACTATCTGAGTCTTGCCTCCGTTCTTGAACCATCCTCCCAGATCTAACACTGGCAACGAAGGTGGGATGCGGAGGCAACGAAGTCTATTGAACACAAGCTAATTGAAGGAGCACGTGGCTGACAGAGCGCAACATTGGCGACATGGCCAGCAGCGCTATACCACCCGCCCCATTCAATCCAGCTAGCGAGGACTGGGACTCATATATGGACAGGTTTCAAATGTTCCTAGAGTCCAACAACCTCAAGGATGCCACGCCCAGGAAGAAACGAGCCGTTTTTCTAACGCATTGCGGACCTGCCTTTTTAAAATGGCTAAAGCACTAGCGAAACCAGCTGAAGTTAAAACGATGGACTGGGACACCCTTGTTCCCATCCTTCGCAACCACTATGCCCCAGCAGTACCGACTCTCATTCGCAGGCATGAGTTCTATCAGAGGGACCAGCGTGAAGGTGAGAGCGTCGGGGATTTTGTGGCAGACCTGAGAAACCTGGGTGGTTTATGTGGCTTCGCTAATCTCGAAGAAGCCATGAGAGACAGAATCGTCCTTGGCCTTAGAGATCCAACTGTTCAAAGCAAGATCATGGCCAAAGGAGACATCTCACTTGCAGATTCCATAGAGACGCTACTGCGGCTGAAGCCAGGTGAAAATCAGCAGCACGAATGCGCCGAACCAGCGGGACCAATTGCCAACCCACCAACGATGCTGGGAAACCTTCAGACAAGTACACATCGGCCACCCATCATGATGATATCAAGTCATCCTCAGACAGTGAGGAGGAAGAAGTCCACAGACTCCGGTCAGAACGTGAGCAACGGGACCAGCGGGGTTGTAAATTGAACTACCAATGTGCCGGATGCGGTGGGAACCATCCACGATCCAAGTGCAGATTCCTAGATGCCATTTGTCGTTTTTGCGAAAAACGTGGGCATATTGCTAAAGTATGCAGAAACAAAAGAAGTTCCAGCCCCAGACGGAGAGGGAGCAGTCTGAAAAGAACCGAGGGCAACCCCACCACACAGAGGGACCACCCTAGCAACCAGTGGAACCAGTACAACAGACCCCGAAGGTTTAATGGTATGCCCAGACAAGAAGAGGCTCATCAAACATCACCATTGGCCACGCTTCATCTCTTGACACAAAGAAAATTCGTGTAGAAGTCACCATTGAGAATAAACCGTGCATCATGGAAGTAGACTCCGGGTCTTCCCTATCTATGGTATCCTGGAAAACACTCAAGCAGCTGATTCCCAACATCCGACGCCAAGACCTCAGCAGTCAGAGACTAAAAGATTACCAGGGCAACCGGATTCCAGTTGCAGGTACCAGGCATTTCCAGGTCTCTTTCAAAGGACATACTGCAATACTACCACTCACCATTGTCGATAGAGACCGGCCAAGTCTACTGGGCCTTCAGTGGTTTGCGCCATTAGGAATTGGAATGGCTGGCATCCATCATACTGAAGACGATGACTGGGAAGCGGCCCTCGTCCACAATTTCCAAGAAGTTTTCAGCGAAAACTTAGGCAAGTACAAGGGGTCCCCTATTTCGTTTAATCTTCGCCCTGACATTGCGCCTATTCACCTAAAACCACGCCGAGTTCCTTTTGCTCTCAAACCCAAAATTGATGAGCAACTGAACAAATTAATTGCGCAAGGCGTGTTAGAGCCCATTGACCACGCCCGATGGGAGACACCAATTGTAACCCACATAAAGCCTGACGGGTCCTTGAGAATCTGTGGAGACTACAAGGCCACCCTCAATCACGCACTGCAACAGAGCGCCTAGTTGTTCAGCATCTCCTGCATTCACTTGGGCGTAGCAAAATATTCGCAAAACTAGATCTGGCCCAAGCGTATCAACAGCTGCCAGTTGATCCCGAGACTGCAGAAGCCCAAACTATAGTTACACATCGTGGCGCATTCAAATGTAACAGGCTCCAGTTTGGAGTAAGCATAGCACCAGACATCTTTCAAAGCCTGATGGAGAGACTATTGCAAGGCATAAAAGGGGTTGTGCCCTATTTTGATGACGTAGTAATAGCAGCCCCAATGAAAAGTCAATTAGAGAAATGCCTCAGAACAGTCCTACAAAGGTTCAAAGATGCTGGCCTCAAGGTTAAGAAGGAAAAGTGCCAGTTATGCACAGAAAGGGTAGAATTTCTTGGCTACCTTCTTGATAAACAAGGAATCCACCCTACAGAAAAGAAATTGGCAGCCATCAAAAATGCCCCAAGACCCAAAAACAAAACTGACCTTCAAGCCTTCCTGGGACTCATTAACTTTTATAACATTTTCCTACCCCAGAAGGCAACTGTTGCTGAACCCCTTCATAGACTCCTCGATAAAAGGGCCTCCTAGATTTGGGGACGACAGGAGGAACATGCATTCCAGCAAGTGAAGGACCTTCTCACTTCTGATGCAGTGCTAATACAATATAACGAGACACTTCCATTGACTGTTACTTGTAACACCTCACCTTTTGGGGTGGGGGACATTCTGAGCCACGTCCTACCAAACGGGTCCGAAGCACCAATTGCATTTTTTTCGAGAACTTTGTCAAAGACAGAAAGAAACTATAGCCACCTCGATAAGAAAGCCCTTGCAATTGTTTCTGCGATCAAAAGGTTTCATGAATATGTATATGGGAGATCATTCTCCATTATCACGGATCATAAGCCATTACTTGGCATTCTGGCAGGCGACAAACCTACCCCACACATTCTTTCCCCCAGAATGAAGCAGTGGTCAGAATTCCTAGCTGCCTACGACTATCAACTAAAACATCGCCCTGGAAAATCTATTCCTCACACTGATGCCTTGAGCCACTCTCCACTACCCCAACTGCAAGATGACCCAGCTCCCAATACTACAAATCGAGACAATTCCCTCACCTCCACTAACGGCCCAGGACATCGCCTTTGAAACCAAAAAAGACTCATGTTTGGCACGAGTTCTTGGCTGGGTGGAGAGGGGATGGCCAGAAAACGAGTCCAAGGAAACCTTTAAACCATTTAAAAATAGACAGACAGAGCTTTTCTCGCAAAGAGGGTGCGTATTATGGGGAGACCGAGTCATCATACCAACTAAACTACAAAAAAAAGTCCTTCAAATGTTACACGATGGACACCCGGGCATCGTGCGTATGAAAGCGCTGGCAAGGAGCTATGCCTGGTGGCCAGGTATGGACAAACAAATTGAAACCTGGGTCGCCTCCTGTAACAGATGCCAGGAAAACCACTCAGCCCCACCAAAAGCTCCACCAGCAGAATGGGAAACACCCAGAGGTCCCTGGTCGCGTATTCATATTGACTTTGCGGGAACTACTAAAGGCCACACTTTCTTAATAACTGTAGATGCATATTCTAACTAGCTCGAGGTAAATAAAATGAAAACAACCACTACAGATGCAGTCATCCAGAAATTAAACAGACTCTTTGCCACACACGGCCTACCCGATCTCCTGGTATCCGACAATGGGCCCCAATTTACTGCCTTAGCCTTCGAACAATACCTAGCTGAACAGGGCATCCGACATGCGCTCACATCGCTGGCTCATCCAGTGGCGAATGGTAGAGCTGAATGAATGGTTCAGTTCACAAAGAAAACCCTACAAAAAATGGAACAAGGTAACATCCACGATAAAGTCACTAGGATGCTCCTTCTCCAGCACATCACACCTAACAGCATGACTAACAAGAGCCCAGCTGATTTCCTGATGGCCAGGAAACTCAGATCGCCTCTAGACCGCTTGCACCCTGCCTACACCCTGGAAAAGCTGCTGGGTTCCAGCAGCAACCATCGCGCCTTTAAGGTAGGAGACCTTGTATTTGCAAAAATTTTTTCGGGGGATCCCCTCTGGATTCCTGCTCAAATAACTCAAGTCACGGGCCCCCGCTCCTACCATCTACTAACCACTGATGGCAGAGCATGGAAACACCACATTGACCAGCTATGCTCCAGACTGACCACAACTTCCATCCCTGACCCCAGCCAAGACACCAGAGGGGGAGGGGAAACCGTGAGCCCAGAAATAGAACCAACACCTGTTCCTTCAGAACGAACCCCGAGATCACCACACCATAGCTTGCAATACTCACCAGCTGTAGTTGAACCTGGGCAGATGAACACTTCACCAAGAAGCAGCAGCCAAACAAGTCCAGCGAGCCCGGGGAGCCATAGCAGTAGCAACAAAGCTGAGGACTCAATCACCCCGAGGACATCAGAGGAGAGTCCCAACTATGGCACCGGTTCACCGTTCCAGCTAGATCCAGTAAGCAGTCCATCTGAACCCAAATTTGAACATGGACAATTGGAATTACGTAAGTTGGGTAGACAGGTACAAAGACCTGCCTACCTGCGAGACTATATAACTCCACCCCTTAAATGGAACCGAGAGGGGAGGGGTGTTCCGGACTAGCAGGCTCAAAAGCCTGCAACTCTGATTGGCCCGCGAATAGCAGGTTGTGATTGGTCGCCGCAGACTGATCCGATTGGCTAGTAAACGGGCTGCTGCGATTGGCCCAGCCAAGAGCAGCAAACTCAAATCGCCTTCATTGGCTGCCTAGCTGCAGCCAGCCCTATATAAGGGGCTGCTGTGGACGGGATAGCTTTGCTCAGATCTGAAGTCACTAATAAAGAGCTGTTGTTATCTGAGTCTTGCCTCCGTTCTTGAACCATCCTCCCATGGTTGATGGTATCAAAATCTGCTGAGAGACTCAGGAAAGTCAAGCTAGAGGCACCAGCCCTATCCTGAGTCACAAACACATGTTCTTTTCTCTGTCTTACTTATACTGTAGCCACTCTGGGCAGAAAAGGACTGGACATTATGAGTTATCACTCTCAGTGTTATTACCAACCTGCTTTAGCCAACTCCACCTCCCACCTCCAGCGGTCTCCAAAAGGAAAAACAGTAAATAACTATGGTATCTTCTTCAAAGTTGATTGTCTCTTTAGCTGTGGCAATTGGACATTGTTAACTTGTGAAGACTTAAGGGAATGTGCCTTCATTGTCAGGTCACAAGCAGGGTTCCCAAAATTCAGTACTTTTATTTTCAAGCAGCCAAAGCTGTTTAGTTTAGCTGATGATCCAGCCGTGTCATCTAATTTGTCTTTAACATGTTTAATTCTAATTCTAGTCTTTAGCTTCCAGTCCAGATTCCCAGAAGAAGTTGCCCGCATTCCTTAAAGAACTGAAAGAAACCACCAAGCAGACACAGGAGAAAATAAACAAGTCTGCTGCAAACTTAAATGCTGTTCTTGAAACCCTGACTTTGGTATCAGTAATACCAGTAGAGGCGAATGAAGAGAATATGGCAGTAAGTGGCAAACGGCTTGGGGGTACTTTACTTGTTATATACTTGAAGGGAGTTAATATCAATATCGAAAGCAGAATAAGAAACAATAGCACTTTTTTTAAACTTGAAAAGTCTTAAGTGTCTACAGAAGGAGTCAATCCTTATGACCTTTTAAACCAACTTTCCCCATCCAGAACTCCTGGACTTCTTTTCAGTATCTTTTTTTTTTAACAAATTTTATTAATTTTCAAAGACAATACACAGACAAACAAAACATAAAACATAAGAACATAGAACATCTTTTCTAAAAACTGCTTAACAAAACAAATAAAACATCTTATTTAACATAATTCTAAATTATCACGTTTCCATACAAACACAATTTAATACGCATCTTATATATTCAACTTCATATCTTATTACTCTTTTCCAACTTCTCACTATTTCTTCCTTTATTTCTGTTCAATTTTATTCATTAAACCTATACTTTCATCTATTTCATATTACTATATTTCGTATTATTACTGTTTCATATGTTCTTATCCAACATCATTAATCCTCAATAAACAAACATAAACAAACAAAATACATAACATAAAGACATAAAACTTCTTTTTAGAAAGCGGCTTAACCCCGGGTTACAACTTTTTGTACAGACATAAATCAAATTCATGCTCACCTTATATACTATTTCATATCTTATTTAACGTTCTATATTTTCCATATGTCTTCTCCCCTCTTTTCACTCTCTTAATTCTATTTTATTTATTTAATCTCAATTTAAATCATTATACTTGTATCTTTTGTCCGTTCTTTTTCAATTATCTATTTATCTTTTCTCTTTAGCACAAACTTTTTCCTGTAATCACTGGTTGAAGTATGACACCTTTCTATCTTTCCCCCAAATTTAACACTTAAAATAATACATAGTTTCTATTCTGATTCTGCTTAGTACATTCTACATAACGTTTTAAAATATAAAACATAATGACCTTATAGTATATTAAAAATAATGTTCCATAACAAATTAATTAATTAAACTCTATTAATTAAATCTTAGAGATTTTACACATTCCCTACAATATTCTATTAACACATATGTTATTCCAATTTTCTAACTCTATTTCATATACAAATACTACAAAACAATCTTATATATTTTTGCAGAATCTCTTTTTAGATTATATTTTACCCTTTATCTCTGAAAAAAACTTGTTTATTAACATCTTGTTTTAAGCCTTTATAACTTCCCTTCACTCTTTCCCTTCCTTCCTTGTCAAATCTAGCCTTTTTACCCCCCACCCTCAATCTCCAGCCTTTTAGTTTCCCCTCTCTGTTGTATTCCTCTTTTCTGTTGCTTTCTGACATCATATCGATTTTTCACCTTATTTTTCCCTTTCTTGGTTGTTTTTTTAGAACTTAAATTCTCAATTTTCTTTTCTTTTTTACCCTTTTCTTTCTCAATTAAAATCATATGTCCATTAAAGATGGCTTCTTCATCATCATCCCAGCCTTCTTGTTATTGCATTTCCTGATAAGTAGAAATCGCCATTTCTAAGAAGCGAAAAATAGATCCAAAGGAGCCCTTGCCGCCTTCTTCCTCTTCTTTTAACTTTTCAAATTGCATTTTCAGTTCTTCAACAGATACCAATGTGAAAATTTTTTTAAACAATCCAAATGTTTTCTTAGTCTTTCCAAAGATAGTTCACAAAAGTCCCAAAGTCATCAAACAATCAAAGTCAGCACAATCAGCACAGTCTGTTTCATTTAGCACTTTCTTCTACTTTCTCTTCCTGGGGTAGAATTCAATTACACAATTCCAAGGTATTTTTGGGGAGTTTTATTGCAATTTAATCTCTGATCTTATAAAACTCCAAGCAATCTCTTTCAACAAATCTTGGTTTAAATCATTTACCTCTCTTCCTTCCCACTTAAAGCACAAAGATTTTAATTTTTAAATGTCAGTATTTAGAAATGTAATGTCCCCTTGGCTTTAATTTTCAAAGTTAGTACCTTCTGCTGCCAAAGCGGGTATTTCCGATTTCCATCTGCTGTCTCCGTAGGGAAGGAAAGTGAGGAGAAAAAAAACCCTTTCCCTTTCACTTTCAACTGTAGCTTTACGATCATCTGGGAAACAATGTATCACTTAAAGAGCCAAAGTTCCAGGGTATACAGATGTTGATTGTCATCCCGGTTCAGCCAAAAGCTTTCACTTTCTTCACTTCCTCCTGCACAAAACTTGTCCAGCTGAGAGGTTCTTTGTGGCGGCCATTGCTGACCACCGCTCCACCACCTTCGGAAAAGGGAGTTAAGCCGGCTGGGGAAGGGGGTTGCGATATCCCCAGACCCCTGCCTGGATCTCCCCTCTCTTCAGTTATCCCTACAGGATAACTATAGCCTCCCAATCCAATTGGATCGAAGGCACTCCGGCAGCGAGCGCGGCAGGGATCGCGCACAAACGCGAATTCCTGCCGCCTCCGAAGCCTGACAAACCGGAACTCCTCTTTTCAGTATCTTTGTTCTAACCCAAACCTTGTTCCAAAGAAACAAACACCAGAGGTAAAAGCAAAACATTTTAATGCTTCTCTGCGAATTCCGTTCATTCACAGTTAAAAGGCTATGAAAACTAATTGTCTCTGATAAGAACGAGCCTTGTCAAGGTTGTGCAAGGCTGCCAAGAACACTAGATTAAGTTGCCAGAAAATATTCAAAACAAAAAGTCTCCAAACACAAACCAGGATAGTCCGAACATCCACAAGGCTTGAAGTGCAAGAACATCTTTGCTTCCTGCAAAGAATTCCAGTTTCTCAGGCTGGCTTTTATCTCTTAAGGGAAGGGCCATTACCTTGCAGCCTTATTCCCAAGTCGCCCGTACTTCTGCAGCTGCTTTTTTCTTTGAGCAGCCCTGCGCGCATGCGCACTGGGCACAGGGTCCTCAGGGTCCTCTGCATCACTGCTGCCAGCCTCCACAATCTCCAAAGGCAGCATTCCACTCTCTGATAGTCCTGGCCCCATCCCTGCATTACACACAGACTCCTTATTCAAGCCCTCACTCTCCGAGGCCTCAGCATTCGCATCTGCTGCCGGCGAACCACAACAATTTTCTCCAAAATTTCCTAACTGCTCAGTTGGTCTCTGCCAACACTACTGAAACCCCAACTGATTCCTGGCCAAGCTCTCTTTTGGAGCATTATTTCTGATGATTACATCTGAATGCATATACGTTCATAGAGATACACAAATGGGCCATGCACAAACACATTTTCTTAGGTGGGTCAAAGCTCCCTGACTGGGACTGACTGATGACAAAGTGAGAGCACTGTATAGGATTTTTGTGTTCATACAGTAATTGTTTTCTATTTAATGTTCCTTTTTGAAATACTGTAGGATATTTGAAATTACAATAACTATGACATGATGGTAATTTGGGGAGGATCTTGTTAAATTCATGATAAGCTTGGTGATAACCTTAAAATCAGAGCAAAGTTCCAATTTTGATGGAGAAATGATTAAATATTATTAGGGATCTTACGTGGACCCTTACTCGTAGATGCCCAGCTGCTGCTAATAGAGGTTAATGACTAATCCTTTGTATAATTCGCCACTGTTATAATATACTATCATGTCTGAACTTAATTACATATTTCAAGTGTGAGAGGAATTTTAGACTTCAGCACTAGGATTTTTGTGTGGAAGTTGGTAATTGGATTGATATACACTGACAGGAAGAGGATTTTCCTTTAAAAAAAATTATTATTCTCCCCTCCTCCTTTTTTTTTTTTTTTTTGCAGAACTTTGGATCTACTGTCGAAACTATTATCACCAGTCCAACAGAAACTTGGAAACATGTGCAGAATGGGAGCTCTCAATTACTTGGCTCAGTAGAACAATTTATAGGATCACTCCAACCAATTAATCAATCTGTTCCTTCAATCATACATGACAGTCTTCAAATCAAAGGAACTGTTCTTGGGGAAAGTAGTCCCTCCATTTATAACAGCAGCTTTGCTTTTCTCCAGTCTGCAGGCCTCCGGGGAAGTGTGCTGATTGAGGATGTAAAATGTGATACTGAGAAATCAATCATGATAGTCAGTGTGGCTTATTCAACACTTCAACGTATCATTCCACAGTATAGAAAGGAAATGGTAAATAGTTTGGTAATGACAACAGTAATAAGTCCCCGAATAAATGAGGATTTCCAGATCAAAATGGCTTTTGCAAAGCGTGAAAAGGCTATGAGCAATCCACAATGTGTCTTCTGGAATTTCAGTTTGGCAGAAGGAGGAAACTGGGATAACACAGGCTGTGAAACTGAAGATGATGGGGACAGTGTCATTTGCTCTTGCAATCATACAACATCCTTTGCCATGCTCATGTCTCCCTATCAGGAAACTTCACTGGATGAATTGACTTATCTCACTTACATTGGCCTGAGCCTTTCTATAGTGAGCCTGATGATTTGCCTTGGAATAGAACTGCTTGTGTGGAAATCAGTCACGAAAACAAGAATTGCATACTTGCGCCATGTTTGTATTCTGAACATTGCAGTTTCTCTCTTGAGTGCAGATATCTGCTTCATTGTTGTTGCTGCAACACATGACCAAAATTATGAAGTGGAGGGGAATCTTTGCATAGTAGCAACTTATTTCATTCACTATTTCTACCTCTGTGTCTTCTTTTGGATGTTCGCTTTGGGACTGATGCTCTTCTATCACTTGGTCTTTCTTCTACACAATGCAAGCAAGACCATCATGAAAACCATTGGCTTCTGCTTGGGATACATCTGTCCTCTAATAATATCAGTCATCACACTAGCCAGCACCCTTCCATATTCCTCTTACACAAGGAAAAAGAGTTGCTTTCTCAACTGGGAGGAAAGCAAAGCCCTCTTGGCCTTAGTGATTCCTGCCATGATCATTGTTGCTATTAATGCTATTGTTACTGCTGTGGTTATAGCAAAAATATCAAGACGTTCAATTGGGGAAAAGTCCATCAATGAAGAAAAAAGTTCTTTGTACCGAATTGCCAAGAGCATTGGTGTATTGACACCGCTATTAGGTCTTACTTGGGGATTTGGACTGGCCACCGTTGTTCCAGGAAGTCCCAAAATATTCCAGATGTTATTTACGATTTTCAATGCCTTTCAGGTAAGCGGATTGATAATATCAGATGTTTGGAATAGTTAGATATCAAAAACGTCATTGACATTTTCTTTGGGTATCTCATTGTGTTATAATACATACTTAATCTAAACTGAGGGGTGATGCAAGCTGCTCTTTCAATAACATGAAATCTAATGATGTCATTGATATCAGCATCCTAGATGAAGATTGTTTTCAAGAAAAATCACATTGTTCTTGAAAATGGCAAAGCTAATACCGTGTTTCTCACAAAATAAGGCTGGGCCTTATTTTTTTTTACCCCCGAAAAAACAGCTAGGCCATCTTTTCGGGGTTGACTTAATCCCCCCCACCTTTGCATCCTCAGGTGGGCAGGTGGCGACAGCTTGGATGTTCGGGAGACCTTCCACCACCGTTGCTTTCCCTTCTCCCTTGCTGACACGGCTTCAGGCGCTCCTGTCGCTGTCTTCCCTTAACCTTCGAAGGCAAAGCCAATTCTTTTAAAAACGACACCCTACTACAACAAAGCCTCCCCTGCCTGAGAGGGGAGCCCAACCCCACGTGGGGAGGCAAATCTCCCGGGGCCGCAGCGCAGGTTTGGCCCACCTCGGGAGAAGCGCCCAGCCGCCATCCCTGCCTGGCGCTGGGCAGACCGTGAAGAGCTCCGCCTGGGGCGCCCAGCGCAGCTGACAGACAGGCCCTCCTTCCTGGTGGCAGAGCTCTCACCAAGGCAGCGAGCGCCTCCCTGCCGGGCCCTCCGCTCATCCCACCAGGGCCGCACCAGAGCTGTGCGGGCTGGGCAGAGCCAGGAAAGTGAGCTGCGAGCGAGGCGCTCACTGCCTTGGTGAGAGCTCTGCTGCCGGGAAGGGCCCACCTGTCAGCTGCACTGGGTGCCCCAGGCGGAGCTCTTCGCTCTCTGCCCGGTGCCAGGCAGGGATGGCATCTGGGCGCTTCTCCTGAGGTGGGCCGATCCTGTGCTGTGGCCCCGGGAGATTTGCCTCCCCACGTGGGGTTGGGCTGCCCTCTTGGGCAGGGGAGTCTTTGTCGTACCAGTAGTAGGGCGTCATTTTTAAAAGACTTGGCTTTGCCTTCGAAGGTTAAGGGAAGACAGCGACAGGAGCGCCTGAAGCCGAGTGTCTCCTCAGGGCTCCGGTTGCAGGGAGGAGCCCTGGCTGGCCGCACGTTGCTGCACCAAACGCCATGGCATTGCTCTAACGCCTTGGCAGCAAGGGAGAAGGGAAAGCAACGGTGGCGGAAGGTGGAAGGTCTCCCGGTATGAAGTGCCCCACCAATGCAGGCAGCACCATATCCGGGCATGCAACAAAGTACTTCCTAACGGCAAGCCCTCCCTGCCATTCCCCCCCACTCCCCATTTTGCATGTTTAATATGGGCCTTAATTTGGGAGAAGGGGCTTAATTTGATTTTATGCCAATAAAACATGGTGGGGCTTCCTATTGGTGGAGGCCGTATTGTTGGAGAAACACGGTAGTAGTTTTTGCCACCCAGGGATGCTGTATCAGAGAAATAGGTGGCATAAAATTTTAATAATGTTAATAAATCAATAGATTGAATGCATGAATGAGTTCAGTTACCCACTTCTAGAACTTTGGTTTGGCATAGAAATAAGCCAAACTACCTTATGCAGAATAAATAATCATAATTATCTCTGTGGATTTTAATTGGCGTATACTGTTCTAGTCTAAGACCAAACTAAACAAATCACTGAGGGAACTATATGGTATCCAGAATGTATAAAATTAAATAAACAAATAAAGAAGCAATTCTGATCTCTGTCTTGAGAACTGTGGGGAATGCAGGCAGATCTAAGTTACTGTCTCTCCTTGAAACAGACCCTTCTAGACCCAGTGTTAGTAATTTGTTCTTATATTGTCTAGGGGACAGCTCCTCATACATCACTTCTCAGGTTTCCAAATTTTTTTAAAGAGCTGCTGTAATTCCCCTTAGTCAAGTTTTTGGAGACCAAATGTTCATGATTAATTTTCCTATATTCTTCTTTTGTTGTACTTGTCTGTGACCGCAAATAAAGTATTATTATAAATAAAGAAGCAATTCTGATCTCTGAGTCTTGAGAACTGTGGGGAATTATGTTCTCTTTCCTGATTCCTAGCAACCTGTCCTGAGTCAGTTAGTTGTTTCTGAATATTCCAGACCAGAGAGTGATCAGAACATCCATTTTTTTTTTTTGAAAATTTGTTTCTCGTATGGACCAATGTTTTGTTTATCAGCCCTTTTAAATTTTGTCTTAGATTGCTTGCAATTTCTCTACATTGAAATGGGCTATTTTTCTTCATACTCTTCATATTTCATACTTTTTCCTCTGTAATAATACTAGTTGGAAATCAGACATAGTGTATACTTTGTATAGTAGTGTAAGAACTGAAATATGTAATTTCAATCTTTGCATATTTTTCAGGGATTATTCATTCTGTTGGGTGGAACTCTCTGGGATAGGAAGGTAGGAACACAATTTTAGGATATTTACTGTTTTGTATTTATTGTTTTATTTCATAATAAAATTATATGCATACAATTACACGCAACTACAGACATGATTAAATATTAGCATTCATTTTCTTTGAAACACACAGGTACGAGAAGCTCTACTGAATAAATATTCTTGCTCAAGATGGAGTTCACAACATTCAAAGGTAATATTCTTTCTAAATAAAGGACTGGATTTAAACACATCCTTCTAAATGGAGGAAATGACTTGTGTCAATAAAAGGGCCATTCTATGCAGTATCTGGCTTTAGCTAGAGCAGTACATGGTGGATTTAGATTCAAAGATACCATTCCACCTCTGCAAGTGAATCATGAGAAGAATTTGACACTTTATTTCTGCAATTGGGAGATGAAGAAAACTAATTAATCCATGCTGATTTGAAAATAAAAGCAAGTGTTTTGAGAGATTTATTTCTAATTGTGTACATTGTTGGCAAAATGAAAATGTACAAGCATATGTTTTGATAAAACCTCACTACATCTTTTTTATTAATATGTGTTTCCTTTTTGCAGTCAACATCGCAAGGCTTGTCGGCTCCTATGCTTTCCATCAATTCACCTTTTTCAAGAACTTTAAATAATTTGTTTGGTAAAGCAGGTATGTGGTGAAAAAATAGGACAGCAACATTTCCCATTGTTGCTGTTCTGTATTTTTTTTCATCCTCTCAATCCCCAAATATATATTTTATAGGCCAGTCAAATTCCTAACTCTTATACTGTTAAAGAATTCTTAGTTTGTTTATAGAATTGCCTTTAGAAAGATAAAAACTTCATTAAATCATTAAAGATCCAATTAGTTCAACTTTTAAGCTTGGTAACTTTGAAATGTGCATACAATTTGTCTTCTCAGTTATTTATGTAAATACATTCAACATAAATGTTCCTTTTAAATGAACAATCCATTCAGGATCTCTGAGACTTCATTGTCTTATGACTGCAGTCATCATGTCTGGAAAACAGCTAAAGATGATAAAAATGATTCTCTGGTTTGACTCCTTGGCATGAGGGGCCCTTGGTGCTCTCTGAACTTAGTTGTTTGCTTGCAATATATGTTTTGCTACCCAATTAGGTAACTTCTTCAATGCTAACTCTTCCATTGGTCCTGACGTGCGGCGCATCAGGCCAAATTGTGTGGGTATTTTCATTATCTTTGGGTATTTTCTAGATATGATTGAAAGGCAGGCAATGACACAGGAAAGCAATTTGTAAAAGACTGTTGATTACAGCTGACAGGTTAAGAATTGAAGAGGACTATGCAGAATTTAGAATTTATTTATAAACCTACATATTTTAATTTTGATGGTCTTATGCAGGCTTATTCTTGTTTGCTTTGATTTCCTCTTAAGCTCAGCTAATGTTGAAAGGCAACTAGGCTTAGGAACTATTTTGTGCTTTATACCATAACTAATAATTAAGCAAGACTTTTACCATCTTACTTCTCTACTCTACAGGAAAATACCAAGTCTCTTCTACGGAATCATCAACTGTATTGTCTGAAAGCACTTCGAAGGCACATACTGTACTGACATGAGTTCTTAAATACCTGCATTTTTGAAAGAGCTCAAGTATTTTTCAAATAATAACTACAGAATAAATAGTGAATAATAGAATGTTGACTTTACAGATTGTGGAAAAGAAATGGCTTTTTAATTAACTTTTTTTTTCTGGTATACCAAATAATGAACAGACAAATAATTGAAATCTTTTAAGCTAGACATTCTGTGACTCAGGTTCTAATGCTATTTTACAGCATTATTTATTTTACAGTATCTTTCAATGTAGCCATGTTTGTTCCAATCCAGTGTTAAAAATGGACCGGTGGGAAAGACATATCACAGCCAAGAGCAAACGGTGTGTGTGCTCGTATAAATTGTAGGAGCAATTTATATGAAACAAATTTTCACTGAAGGTGAAAAAATTGCTAGTGCAATCCTAGAGATGTCAGTTCAGAAGTAAATATAATTTTCAGTGGTTCTCTTCATTTCCTGGTACATCCTTTTCTGGGGCAAACTCCAGTATAAACTCACCTGGGAAGAACTCCATTGAATTTAGCAAGACTGGCTTCTGAGTTAGAGCAATGAAATTGCACTGATCATCTTGTAAATAAACTGGAACATTTGTGTTATCAGCCTCTCCAGAAAGAGAAGCACTTTATTTTTATATTATAGAAACATGTCCAGTTCTGCTACTTGTTTTGCTGAGGAAAAACAAAGGGGACCTTTTTTTGTAAATATATATTTATGAGGATATGACTTAATAAAACCTGCTTGTCCAGAATTTTTTAAAGTGTCTTGCTATTCTTTCATGATTATCTTTATGGGCTTCTGCAAGAATTTTCTAGAGAGAGGAAGAGGGGGAAAACTGCAACATAGGATATAATTATAATGTGTGTCGGGGGGCGGGGGGGCAGGAAGGGTGGCCAATTTTTCTTCCGGGCATGCTTTGTTAGTGTTATATTCCATGATGAGACAAATACAGTACAGCAGATGAGGGTGAAGGCTTTTTTCTCCGAGCTTGTGGGTTGGTTTCCGTATGTTTCGTTACCAGGCTAGGTAACATCTTCCATGGAGTTTAGGGGATGTCAGTGTCGGTGTTCCTCTGTCAGGTGAGGTCCTAGTGATGGGTCAGCTGTGAGTCAGCTTGAATGAACCTTCACCCTCATCCTACACCTGAGCTACAGATATTCACCATTATAGCACAGTACAGAAGAATTAGGGAATGCTGGGCATTTTTTTAATGTCCACTATCTTCATAAATCTGACAATTCACCTGTTTTGTCAAAAAAAAGGGGAGTGGGTTTCCATGGTGTCTTTCTCAGTCCCATTTGGAGTGGCTGGAACTTAAGCTCACACTTTTTATATGCAAGGAGAATCTTTCTAAGGTGAGTTTCAGAAACTTGACCTTGAAGCATTGGTGAGCATTCTAGAGAATCTGTGGCAACTGCCTTTGGCAACAAGGATGAGGCCAGGATTTGGAGGTAACCCTGTGCAAATTTCCCAAGTTACAAAAGAGCATTCATATTTTAAATTAATAATATCTCTACACTAGCTTGCTAGTGAAAAGAAGCAAACAAATTCATTTTTAGAATATTAAAAAAACTAAAGAGCATATTTTAAAAAGCTCAATTTTGTGACAGCACCTAGTAAACTTTGTTTGATCTCAAAAAGCTAAGTAAAGTCAGGCCAGTTTAATCTTTGAATGGGATGTCAGCAGCGGTGGGCTTCAAAAATTTTAGAAAGGGTTCTCTGCTTTGTTGCTGGGTGGGTGTGGCCATAGCGGGCGTGGCTTAGTCGGCCTCCTGCACCATGTCAGGAGAGGCATTTTTGCCCACTCTGGGCTTTGGAGGCTTTTCTCGAGCCTCCGGGAGGCCAAAAACAGCATCCCCGGGCTCTGGAGGCTCTTTGGAAGCTGGAAACGGGCCTATTTCTGGCCTTCCCAAATGTCCAGGAGTCCCGTTTTTCACCCTCTCCAAGCCTTCACACAGACCCTGCATTTACCTGCATCCAAAATGGATTGTGTGGTGAGTCCTGGGAGGGGAGGGGAGGGGTGGACCAGCCAGGAGTGGGATTTGGAGGATCTCCAAACTGCACATAAACTTAGGTAGGGGCTCTCCCAAACTCCTGCAAACCCTCAGCAGCCCACCCCTGGATGTCAGCAGGGCTGTCGGCTAATCTGAAAAGTTGAAAATAAATGTCCCAGAAGAAGGCAATGTCAGTTCATTTCTGTCAGCTACTTAGAGATGCATGTCTATGAAGTCTACAGGAGTTGAGCTCACTGTGAAGGATACTTTATCTGTATATTTAAGAAAAGAAAGGACTTATATAACCCATTTTTTTCTCCATGCCTTCATCTAAATAATTTAGATGTTGTGAGATGAGATTAAAAGAAAAATTATTTATTGTACCTATTCTAACCCCTTGCCAGAAAAGACCACAGCAGATCTAGAGGCTTCTTATACAGCAAACAACCCACTGATTATTATATAACTCAGCCTCTTGATTTTTGTGCAAGCCTATGTGCTAGCTATTAATAATGCATCTTCCTGCTCTTTGTTGGCGAGAATGTTTCACCTCCAAGGAACAGCAGCAAAATGATGAACTAGGAAGGATACTCACTGAAATAACACAGCAGCCTGCTCTCTGGAACACAACTAAGCAGAGAAAGTAGCACTGCACTTAATGCCAGGGAAGTAGGCCCTGGGAAAGGAAATTAAATATAATTTATTCTCCACATCCATAGGACTGCAGGCAGCAAATGAGGGATGGAGGTGGACAGGATAGTATAGGAATGGTAGACCAGATACCACCCATCCATCAAAAGGAATATGAAACAGACCCACCAGGCCCATACTATATATTGATGAGGTGATATATGAGGTGATATATGATGACAGTCCCAAAATGTTTCTTGGAGGGGCATTTCTGCCAGCTACTATAGAAACGACTATGATGGTTATTGTAAGATTTCCAGAAACTCCACAGCCAGCAGAAGATTCCAATGGATGGGTACTTCCACACTGTCTAGAGGAAGATTTTGCTTGGGGTGCATTTGGATAAAAATATTTTTAAAAAGGAAGAGAGACATAATTTACAAGAAAACCTGAATATCTGGTCAATGGATTGCTTTTTATTGCAAGTACTGCTCAACATCTTCCTCTACCTTTCCCTTACCATTTTTAAAAAGGGAGTAAGATAAAGATTATGTTTATAGACACAGCACACACTGTTCCTTCACAGAAACACAAAATTAAAACTTGCACTTGTAAACAAACTGGGAAAAAAGTTAATATTTCACATGTCATGAGCACACATTATGTCTGTAATCTATTTTATGGCACATACTTAACTTTATAGCAGCATATTAAACAATTCTTTCTGTTTGCAATTCAGACCTCTATCTAATCAAACAAAAAATCATATCTTGTCATTCTGGGCCTACCAACATAGTATATGCAATAAATTTCCCTGGTAATTTAAAGGTACACACAGGGGAAAGAAAAGAAAAGCAGAAGTGAAAAGCTGAAGGTACCTAATTTCATAACGTTCAGAATATTATTAAAATTGTCAGACTGACTCTCTAATCCATCACAGCTGCAAGGAAGGCGAAATGCAGCTATTTGTATGGTTGCTGTGTGGTTGCCATTACCTGGCTATGTTTCTCACATCTGATTTTTTTTTAAAAGCTTCATAGTAAATATAACGGTCAAGGAATAACACAGTATTGCATGTTCCTGTGTTTAATATGATGTATTAATCTATTTATTTCACTGGACCATGTCCCTGTAAAAGTATCACATCTAAGAGTAAACATGTAGAGTAAAAGTGCTACAATATATCCTAAACGTGCCATGTCTCAAAGTAGCTTATTGAATTGTTCTTGCAAGAGGATTCTCATAGAAATTCAAAATGAGAAATTTAAAAATGGCATGACCCAAGAGAAAATATCTTGGGTGCTTGCAATTAATTTCCCTTTGATGTTTTCAAAGATGTCATCATTCTCACAGGGATTTGGGTTCAACTCATTTGCTGGTTGGATTACCAGCCTTCTGAGGTGGTGGGGGGGGGGGAATCTCCTCTTTTGTTCTAGAGGATTATTTTCACATTTGACAAATACTGGTAGTGTAAAACCAAGTATCAAATGTTGAGTTTATAAAATGGAAGTTGTTTCATTCCTTGCATTTGTGGGTGCATTTGGAGAGATACACTGTATTTTTTTCTTCTTAGGTAGCAACAGAAATCATAGCTTAATTATGTTAAATAGGTACTCAATGAATAGATATTCAGGAATTTCTTTGGTTCCTAAATTCTGATTACCTAGAGAGTTATCTGATGGCTAAATTTTGTGGCAACATCTTTTGTTTTTACAACCTGGCTTTGAGGTGTCTGCCCACTCTGGAAAAGCATGGAATTACATTTCTGCTTTGGAAGAATATAGTGAAACAAAAGCAGTTTTTTTTCTCCGCCACAGCAGCAGCGAAATGTGTAATAGCTATAATTTAATAATTTAATATGTGCTGATAAAAGCATATAACCACTCAACTCACATAACTAAATCAAATCTCTTGTATTTTTAAAGAAATGACTGCACAAAGTTACTCTAGTAATCTTAGATTGATTTGCATAATTACCATGCAAAGTTTCGACTTCCATCAATATTTTTCATCCCCAACCACCACTGGTGACTTCATATTATTTTAAAGAAGAATAGGAGACACTGACATTTGCACTTTGGTTAGAAAATCCAGGACACAAGACATCCGCTTCTCTCCCCCACCCTCCAAGCACTGATATTAACATAAATGAAATGGCCAGGTCTGTAGATAAAAATTTTGTCCTACTGAATAACACCTGTACTGTACCTCTTAGATTTGAACGTTACCATTTTTTCACCCTGGGGGTGCCTGCATAGATCTAAGACTCAGGAACCATAATGTTTGCCATCATTAAAATGGATGAATGAATACTATACTTTCTCTCCTTCCATGATGTAAGCTTAACAGGCTTTTGTGCCTATTTAAAGCACTGTAGTCCTTTGTGTTCTTTAGAGAAAATGTTCCTGAATCAAAACGATTAAGCACAATTAATCTGTAAATATTTGTGAACTGCCTCAGTAAAAATTAGGTGAGAATGAAATTCATAACAGATGTTGAAAGTCCTCTATTACCACAGGGATCACAGATCATATTGTATATTACTGAAATATGGCAGTTTTTACTGCATCAGCTTTTTAAAGTGATAATAATTCCTAGGAATCGATAGCTCCAGTCCAGCTCTTTTATTGCTGTTCTGAAGACTGGGTGAGGGAACTGGCACTGACACATACTAACTGGAATTCTCCTGGATTAAGTCAGTG